TGAGATTCAGGTGAAACATGGAGAACTTCCTGACAGTCTGGGAGAAGATACACTTGAGCAAAAGTCAGAAACATGGAAGCAGAGGGTTTGGAAGCCTTCTTAGAAGTCAGGGAAAACAGAGCATCCTTTTCCTGCCTGGTGGGAGGCCCGCAGCAAATAGCTGCGGAAGAAGTAGGCTGGAGTTCGAGTAACCGGGCTTGAGGGAGAACTTGGAGTTGTTTCTTGGAGGGGTGCGGATGGGTGACCCTGAATTGGAGGTTGTCACTGATCAGCGTGGGAAGCTGTGTATCTGGGCTGGCTTGGGGAACGATAGAAAAGACCTTGGGATGGTAAAGACGGCAGAGCTCTCCCAGCCTTCCCCATAGGGGCACCCGAGGTCTTAAGGGGCAGATATGTGCCTTCAGCAATTTGCCAGGGCAGTGGGTGACTGGTGGGCTTGAATGCCCAGGCTGGAGTTGGGAGAACAGATGGTTACAAATGGGTGGGACCTCTACAAGATTTGTTCTGACTCCGAGATCCTAGAAATCCCCAAATTAGGATTCTCCATGGGTTTTAAGAAAGGAAACCAAGGGGGCGCCCGGCTGGTTCAGTTGGTAGAACGTGCACCTCTTGATTTTGGGGTTGTGAGTTCGAGCCCCGCGTTGGGTATAGAGATTACCTAAAAGTAAATATGTAAACTTAAAAAAAAAAAAAAAAGGAAGAAAGCAGCAATGCCTTTAAAGAAAAATTTAAAAATAAATAAATAAAAGGAAGGGAAACAAGGGATGGTGAGCAGAGAGCTGGTGGAAGTACCAGGAATCCTGGCTGCCAGGCCCCTCTGCCAGGGGTGATGGGTATGATGGTGTGGCTGTCATAATTGCTAATCGCTGTTCTGCGGGTCACAGTAATGACCGCCCCACCAGGATTCATTAGACATAGTCCCCCCATATTTGAGGGTCTCTTGGCTGAGGGAAGGGAGTGGCCTGGACCCCTTTATACCCGAGTCCCAAAGGCGGACAAAATAAAACAGCTGTCCTAGTAATGCAGGTCCCTTCCTTACTTCAGTGAGAAGGTTGGCAGGAGGTAAGGGGCACATGGGCTCCTAATGCCCCCCCGCCCCGCCAAGAGACCCCTCTTCTGAGCGGTGCCCCCATCTCTACTCTGTCTCTCCAGGGCATTTCCCCCTCCTCTCTGAGTTTACATGGGTCTTGGTTGGTTGAACTGTTCTCATCAGCAGTGCTGCCACACCTGTCCCCTACCTGACTCTCACTGCCCTTCTTAGCTCACGGGCTGCTGGATGGTTAGCCCTGGGTGTTCTTTACTACCAACTTGAGATTTGGGGGAAGATGTCAGGTGAGGAGATCCTCACTCTGTTCCAGGTGCGTGTCTGTTTCTAGGAGGGTTGCTTTCATGTGCACGCAGGGGTGTAGCACTCTTGCCCGTTCAGGGTGGTTGGGAGAGGGAGGGAGACAGAGGGGCGGGGAGCTGGTGATCCATCATCTCCCCCCACCCCCAAGCAGACCAGGGTGGTTTGTGAAACCAGACTTTCCTGATCTTAGCATCATGCTTACGTGCATATGTGCATACAAGCCAGCCCAGACATACAGCGCGTGTGCACACACACACACACACACACACACACACACACACACCACCCACAATAAATGCACACCTAGAGACAGCACACCAGTATTTGCACTGACACCCTTGGTGTCTCAGGTTTTCTTTCAGGCAGTCTGCCATGGAAGCGGCTTCTAGGGTAAATTTCCAAATTAACCTCTTTGCTTGGGTCCCCCTCCTACCCCAGGTGAAAGCTTTTCATGATTCCCTGGTGCCCGTGGGATGAGGCTCAGACTCCCTAGGCTAGCATTCAAGGCCTTCTCTGATCTGGTCCCAACCTGACCTTCCAGCTTGGTCTCCCATCATCCTCCACCAGGAGTATCTTCCTAAAGAAATCCATGTCATATACACTTGCATTTCTCTTCCTGCCTGGGTCCCCCGGAGGATGTGCCCTCTTCCCGTTCACATCTCTTAGAACTGGGTTAGGCTCCCCTCTTCCAGGAGGACTTTTTGACTGCCTCAGCTGATAGCAACTTCTTTCTTTGTTTGGTTTTTGACATTTGGAGGAGAAGTCTTTCCACAGCTTGGATGAGAGGGCCCCACGTTGCCACTTCTGAGCCTCTCAAGGCAGGGCCTGTATTTGTTCATCTTTATTTTCCATGTGCCAACTTGGCGCCTGGCCTCTGTGTATGTAAATAGCTGAGAACCTGGCTCCAGGGAATAGCATGGTCTGAACTGGATCAAGTCCCTGCTCTGGCTCTTTCTGGCTGTCTGAGCCCAGGCAAGTGGCTTACCTTCTCTGGTCACCAGTTTCCCAATTGTACCATGAGGAGTTTAGGCCTCCATATTCTCAGATTCTGTGTTTTTGCGGTGGTGAGGATGGGGACGAGCATCCTCAGATAGATGCACAGATAGCCTCCTTCAGCCCAGAGGGTAAGGAGGCTGGGGTGGTAAGTAGCTCGATGGCAATTACACTCAAGGGTCCAGAGACTTCTCACTCTCCGGGAGAAAGCAGATTGGTGTCAGGTCTAGACAGGTGCGTGTGATCCTAGACCACTTCCTTGACCTCTTGCACCACCAGTTTATGTACATGGAAAATAGAATTAATGTTGTAGGCTGCTTTGGGGCATTAGAGAACATTAAGTAGGTGGGAGCTTAATTCATGCACAGTGGAGATAGGGACACAGTTATTTGCGGGTCTGGGTCCCCGTCCCATCTCATTTCTCCCTGTGCGGGCTCCGGTCTGTTTCTTTGCTCCTTGATCATTGCCCAGGAGAACCCATACTCACCTCTCCTCAGATCAGCCTGAGTGGCTTGGCATCAGGCCTTAGTGGTGTCCCTGGTCCATAGCCTGCTGGCAGGGTCTGGGCTGCAAAACACCCCATTGAGCTTCCAGTTAGCTCCTCTGGTGGACTTTTCTGTGCATATGCTGCTATGAGGGGATCACAGGACTTCCCATCACCCCAGATTCCCATAGTCCCAATTCCCCTGCCTCCGGGACATCCTGCCCCCAACTCACCCTGACCTCTGGGATCGCTCCCAGCCTGAGACATGTCCCCTTTGCCTCATCACCCTTCCCTGGGAATACTGAGGCTGGAGTTGTCCACAGAGACCAGAAAAGTTCCTTAGAATGTGAGGAAAGGGGAGGGGTCTTCAGTGAGGGGAGACCCCTGTCCTATATTTTGGCCTCTGTCTCCCCTTCGCTCCCATATCACCTTGGGGGGACAGGTTAGGATGAAAGCCCCAGTGTGCACCCCCAAGCCCTTATGCCCCAACCTCCAAAGGACCTTAAAGGCAGGAAATCTTTTTTTGTAGAGAGCTGAAATGTACCTGGAGTATGTTCAGAGTCTGGCTTCCCAGGCCCTACCCACTCTGTGATCTCCAAGGTCCTTGGGTGCCTCCAGACTTGGGAGCAGCCACCCTGTTTACAGTGTGTGGGGGTTATTCCTCTGAATGAGTCTCAGCCCAGGGCTCTTGATGGAAGAAAGGGTGGGCCGCGGGAAAACAGAAGAACCAAGCCAACTTTGGAAGGAGGTGAGTTGGTGATTTTTCCCCTCCTTCCAACAGTGGGAGGATCTAGTAAGATCTAGCACTTTCTCCTAGGAAAGAAGGACCCTAGAAAACCAGCAGGGGGATCAGAGCGGAAGCTGAGGGGAGAAGGGTCAGTAGTTTGTGGGGTTCTAGAGTTGCTAGAAGTGCAAAGTAGAGAGGCAGTAACAGAAAATGTCAGTCAGCGGGTGCTTGGCTGGCTCAGTTGGAAGAGCATGCGACTCTTGATTTGGGGGTTGTGAGTTTGAGCCCCACGTTGCGTGTAGAGATGACTAATAAATAAATATTTAAACTTAAAAAGAAGAAAGAAAATGCCAGTCAGGACTCAGCAAGATTTGTTTGGTTGTGAATGCAAGTGTCCAAGTATCCAGGTCATTGTGAATAAGTGTGTGAGGCCCTTGAGGCTGGGCTGAGTCACAATGTTTCATTTTTCTGCCCGGGACAGTCTCCTGCTGTGGGAGGCCCAGAGAGGGAGGAGGGTGGGACAGAGACGCAGCACTTGCCTCTGACCGGGGGCTGTCCCGGTCTGACTGTCTTTTGCTATTAGTTTCCCAGCCACTCTTGATTTTTAAAAAATTATATGTGTGTGTGTGTGTGTGTGTGTGTGTGTGTGTGTGTGTGTGTGTGTGTATTCTCCACTCTCCTCAGTCTCCCATGCTCCCTCCAACCCCTCTTCCCCCTAAATAGTTATGTGTGAACTTTGACCCCGGGAATCCGCTTGGGGGGAGCATTTTGGGAAAACATGATAGAGCCTCGTAAAGAACTCTGACAGCTTGCAAACAGCCTGCGCTAAATTGCCCCTTCAAGTCAAAATTAAAGCAAATGTCTGTTTTATGGCCATGTTTTCTTGGGCTGCAGCTATGGCGGGAGCGCGGGCCGCTCGGAGCTGGGAAGCGTGCGGAAGGTGGAGGGGCTCAGGGTGGCTTGTACCTGGGTTGTGGACTAGCCGCTCTGCGTGGAGCCTTCTGGTTCACTCCCTGCATCCCTCCCTCCTCCACCCCTTTTCTGTGCAGTGAGGGTATGAAGACCATCCTATCCGCAGAAAGTCTCTCAACAGGTTCTTCCTCCTCTCCCAGTGTGGTCCGGAGAGTTCTTGCTCTTTCGCTTCCTAGACTGCCAGTGGAAGCCCTGAGATCATTCTGGCCAAGGGCTTGACTTGAGGTCTGGACACCCCCAGTTTCTCCGGTGGGACTCAGGGGTGGCTGCTCAGGCTCCAGACTACCCCCTGCCCTCACACTAGTTTCTCCCCACCTGGTCCACCCTGGTGTATTGGCATTCTGAGTTAGGTTGCTTTGAAAAGAAATTCTAAGGCGATGATGATGATGATGATGATGATGATGATTGTGGTGGTGGTGGTGGTGGAGGAGGAGGAGGAGGAGGGGGAGGAGAAAGAAACCACTGGTCTATTTTATTCCCTTCATTATTCAAACGAAGAAAGTGAGGCCCAGAGGGGACGTGTTGGAGAAGATCCTTGAATTCGGCCAAAGGAAGTCTGATTCTGACCCAAATCAGTTCCCCTCTTCGGGTTTTAGTTTCCTCACCTAGACACATAAGTACCTAAAGATGACAACAATAGCCCATGTTTATTGACCCCTAGGATGTGAGGTCTTAAGTGTTATGCGTTTTCCATGGGCCATCCCATTTAAGATTCAATAACTTTATGAGCTATAATTATTCCCATGAGAACACTAAGGCAAGGGAGGTTAAATAAGTTGGCTGAGGTCCTTCAGTGGCAAAGGCAGAATTTGAACCTTGGCGGTCCCTCTCCAGGGCCCGGGCACTCAGTCACCACTCGCATGAGGACGGGATCCAGATGGGTCAGCTGGGAAGCGGGGGCTCAGCCCCACTGACCCCTGGGCCAGTGTTCATGCCACTGGGTCAGGCTGTGTACTCAGCCAGGGCAGTGCGGGTCTTAGGTTGTCTGGAGGCTGCTGGGGTCCTCTGTACTCAGGGCTGTGACCATGATACTCGGCACACACCCTGGAGCAGGGAGCTTTGGGCCAGAGCGGGGCTTCCAGAAGGAGACTTGGAAAGGCCGAGGAGAGCTTTTAGGTTTGTCATGAGGGAATCCAGGAAGTGTAAGGGTTCTTGATCGGGGCCATGACTGTACAATATTATAGAGAAGCCTCTCCCTGCTCCCTCCCCGCCCCCAGGTGGCGTGCCCACTTAGGAAGTCCTCTAGTAGGCGGCTCAGTCCACAAAGCCATGCAGTGACACCCCCTCCCTCACCCAGTGTGTCCCTTCCACCCTGGTTATTCCAGCTTCTTTCTTCTCAGAGGCTTTACTGCTAGAACTAGATGTTGGATGTGGCTTCCTCCTCAGAAGACAATTTATGGCGACATGTCGGAGACTCTGTTTTAATGAAGTTGCAAAAGTAGGTTAATGGGCTGTGGGTGTTTTTCATTCCCTTCCCCCTGCCCCTTCTCCACCCCTGGGCAGATGAATGATGCCTCTCCCAGCACGACTCAGAGTCGGGCTGAGGATCTTGGGCCTGGACGTGTATGCTCACATATCTCTTCCTTGGCCTCCACTGGAGCCCTCAGTACCCTCCTCCCTGCTGCTGGCAAGGTGCTCAGCACATCTAGCCCCCATCCCTCCTGCTGTAACTACGGCCTGAAGATGCTCCAAAGTCTGCCCAGCGGGAAAGAGCATGGCATATTTGAGAGGCAGGAACCAGGGCAAGGGCTGGGGCAGGGCTTGGGACCCTGGGGAAGAAGGCAGCCAGAATTATGGCTAATGGATTTCTTTTGGATGAGAGAGGCCTGGAGATGGGAGCTTAGCTGGCATGGACCTGGGGAATTCTGCAAGCTGACGCTGATATTTTGGGGGAGGAGCTGAGTTTCTGAGGACCTCCCCCATTGTTGTTCCTCCTTCTCTAATTCATTTCTGTGTCTCCTAGGGCCATGCCTGATACATGGCTGCCCTTGCAAATAGTCGCCGAGTGAATGATGGACACAAGAGTGAGTGGGCCTTTTTTCCCGGTCCCCAGTCTCTGGGGCTGGAACTCATCCCCATTCTTGCTCCCTTCCCACCTGTCTTCCCAGTGCTTGCCCCACACTGCCACCTCTGAGGACATTTTCCATGACTAAACTGCAAGAGTAATTCTCCATTTATTTGTCTGGGTCCAACATGAGGGTCTGTCATCCTGGAAGAGTGGGGTCTCCAGGGGGAAGGGTCTATCTCTTTTCCCTCCAGATTCTCCCCTAAGTGATCCCCACGTAGGGCTCTAAGATTGGGGTTGGGGCCCAGAGCCTGGCTGTACTTGAAGGCACACATCCAGGAGGACCATCCTGCTGTCTAGGCCCCTCTCTCCAGTCCTTCCTCCCTATAGAAAGCCGAGAGCACTCATAGTCTCTGGCCTGTAGTCACTTCCAGGGGAGAAGGACCCTTCTCCACTCCCAGCCCCCTCCTGTCAACAAATGAGGTTATTGGTCAGGGTTTGGGAATACCAGGATGGGGTATAGCAGGCCTCACTTCCCTGCAACGTCAGACCATCCCCCTTTTCTGGGAGCCTGGACCTCCTCTGTCCTCTCCACCCTTTGGCTTTCTTTTATAGACTTAGCTCTCTCCCCTCCCTGGGCCTGGGAAGGATCACAGGTTTGTGGCCCTTTAGACTAACGTTGTAGACATCCTGAGAAGCTCTACCATGATGCCCAGAAAGGCCCACCATAATCCCCAGCCCAATTCTTTTTTTCTTTTTCTTTTTTTCCCGACCCAGGTAGGACATTCTTCTCGAAGACTCCAAAGACCTCACTGGACCTTGCTCCATACTCAGTTTTGCTGTGGCAGAGGGAAGGGCAGGTGCACAGGGCTGGATGTGGGTTGGGGGGAGCTTGGAGGGTGTCAGGGTCTGGTAGAGGGGCCCAGTTGTCTGCCACCTTGTCACAATCTCCGAGGAGCTCAAGCAAGAGACCTAGAGGGTAGACCTTGGGAGGCCTGAATTGCTGGGGTCCAGTTTTAATCAGGGATGGGAAAGCAGACTGAGGGTGTGACTTTTCTTTCACTCAGTTCCAGCCGAAGGCCTCCCCTCACCCGAGATGGTAGGGAAGGGGTCTGGGGGGCCAGGGAAACCCAGAAGCCATGGTAGTTTATGCCTGATGTGGGAATCCTAGGGCTTCTGTGGAAGTTTCCACTGAACAAGAGGTGATGGGACTGCTGGGTTCCCAGGACCATGGGAGCCATATACTGTATGTAGTAGAGACATCCGCTGATGTCTCTGGTTGGTCAGATCTGGTTGGGTCTGAGTGGGGAAGAGGGTTGGAGGGTTGGGAGGGAAGACACCCAGGCTCGTTCCCCTAGTGCACGAGAGGAGAGTAACACCCGGGAGCTGACTTAGCACTAGCTGGAAGAGGTTGTTCAGAGCAGGGAGAAACAGAGGGAAGAGAAACCAAGGGCTTCCCATCGGGAAGGCCTCATGGAATGGGGAGAGTGGGCACAGGACTGGAAAGGAAGGGAGGGGTGGAGTGGTGGGCTCTCACAGGAGGCGAGGGAGGGGGGCGGGCGTGCCCCCCTTGAAGGTCAGGAGGCGGGTGTCCTGGCCAGGCGGGGTTCCACCTGCAGAGTGGCTGGAGGTTGGAATCTCTGTGTGTCAGAAGTTGCCGAGAACACAAGTGTAAACGTGGAGTTGGGAGGTTTGGTGACTCCAGGCCCTCCATCTTGAGCAATTCACACCCACTTCTAGTGTCTTCTTCCTCTAAGCGTGGAGGGTAAGAACATCAAGCATTCTTGAGTGTTACAAAAGCTTCTCTGGTGGGTGAGAAGACTGCTGGGCAGGGTGGGGTGGGGGGGTAGGCTGTTTGGGCCTCGATTTAGTGGATTTCAGCAGGTGTCAGGCCTCCGTTGTATGTGAGAGGGCAAACTCGGATGGGGGCCAGGACAGCACTCCGGCCCAGTTCTGCCCCTAGCTGGCCCCTCCTACAGCCCTGCTTCCCTACTTGCCAGACCAGGAGAGTTGCTCTGGCTGACATCTAAAGGCTCCTCCCTCCATCTGAGACTTGTTTAATAATGTTCAAAGTCCTTGAAAGTATCAGTTGAGATCATGGATGCTGAGAAGCTTTGCCAAAATAGAAAGCATGCTCTCAATGTGAAGGTTTGAGGGGCAGTTGGGGGCGGCTATGGGCTGCCATCCGTCTGGACTGGGACCCCTGGAAGGGAAATGCGGGTAGCCTGGCTCAGGTTTGTGCCCGCACCATTCCCTTCCCGCTTCCCAACCCAGCTCCAGGCTCTGGGGACCAAGCCCTGCTCAGGATGGGGGTGGGGCTCCCTGGGGCAGGGGCAGAGGGGGTGGGAGCCTCCCTTCCAAGTGGCTCCGAGCTGGAGCACAGCAATTACGCAGGAGGATTTATGTCCCTTTGCCTTTAATCGGAAACTCCGTGTCAAGAAGAAAAATTTGCACTGTCCTCCAGCCCGGCTTCCTGCTTTATCATTATTATTGGAGGAAGGTTGATTTGGAAACTTAAAGAAAAGTGGGGTTGGGGGTGGGAGCCACCAGGGAAGGGGAGTTGGGGGGCAGAAGGGTGGCCTTACTACTGTTGTCCTGGTTTGTCACTGGAGGGGGACAAAGGGCAGGTCAGGGGCTGAGGGTCCTAGAGCGCAGGTGAGAAGAGACCAGAGGGACGCTAGGGGAAGGGTAGGGGCCGGGGGCCATGGAAGGAAGGGGCACCCAGGAGCTGGAGGGACACCACGAGGGAGGGAAGGGGTGGGAGACCACAAGGGACAAGCAAGGGTTGAAGAGACTTGGAGAGAGAGGAAGAGAACCAGGGCTCCTAGTGGAGGAAAGGAGCAGCTCCATGTGGAGGGAGATGGGGGAGGGGGACAGTCAGGGGCTGTCAGGGGGATGCTGTGGGAGAGGGACAGCATGGGGTCTCCAGAAAGGCCACAGGGCGGGGGAAAGGAGGGCTGGGGGGTAATCAGAAGGGATAGCCAGGGGCTGGGGGGTTGGTCCAGGGGCTCTGGGACTATGGCTGTCAGGGGTCTATACCTGCTGACCTACCCCCACGAAGGCCATTCTCCCCTGGCCCACGCAAGACCCGTGTCTCCTGGCCTCCTGGGTGGAGGGCACTGGCCTCCCACAAAGCCCTAGGTTTCCCTTTCTCCTTCAGGAGCTGTTTCTCTGGATGGTGGGTGTAGTGAGTGGTTATATGCTGAGGGAACCCCTTGGCTCCGGACCCTGCACGTATTGCAGCAGAAGTGTCTGAGGGAGAGGCCTGCGCTCTGGGGAAGGGGAGGGAGCAGGAGAGAAGCCATCTGTCCTGGTGTCCCCCTGCCTCTTTGATGGAAGTCCCCCTGGTGTCTTACCAGCTACCCCTCCTGTGCCCGTGATGTCATGCTGATGTGTGGAACGGGCACCGGCTCTGGCATCGGTCCCCGGCACTGACTACCTGCGTGCACCTCTGTGAACCTCAGGTTTCGTGTCTGCAGTGCGGTGACAGTCGTATCTCCATGGCAGGGTGTTGTCAGGATGAGAGATAATTAGGTAAGGGATCCAGCGTGTAGTAGGCCTTCAGAAGGACACCATGCCCTTCTGGGGGTCAGGTCCAATATATGCAGCCTCTTTTGTTTACAAAGTACTGATTAATGCGGGCTCTATGCCTTTCCTTATCTGATCCCTCGTGACAACTCACCGAGGGAGCTGGGTAGGTGTCCTTATCCTCACTGATGACGGGAACCATGGTGCGGAGCCCCCCACGTGACTTGCCTAAAGCCACACACACGTCACTGGGCCAGCCAGCTGAGAGAGCCCCATAACACCTCCTAAGGAGCTTGGAGAGCAACCCCTGGGCCTCCTTCCTCCATTCTTCCCCCGAGGGTCCCACACGCAGCCCCTCACCCCTAGGGTCTGGGGGGACTTTGGGATGATGGCTCAGCTTCCGATCTGCCTGCAGCCCGGGCCATGCCCGCACTCATGTACCTCCTCCCTGGCTCAACTAAGAGGTTTTATAGCCGTTTACGAGCAATTTCTGTCCATATATCACCGGAGATATATAGCCAGGCAAATATTAGGGACCCAGGCGGAGGTTTTAAGAGGCAGGTCTTACTGCTGCTGAAAGGAGGCGTGATCGACAGCCCGCAGACACCCACCTCCCTCTTGCTCGTGGCCGGGCGGTGGCAGCATGGACTGGGCTTCAGCCTGGAGAACTGTCTGCGGAGCTGGAGTGTCATGCGGGTGCCCCGGGGGTGTCTGGTGGCCATCCAAGGCTGGGCTCTGTTCTTCAGAGAGCCCTGTGAGGAGGGGACGTGGGGGGGGGGTGGGCGGTGGTGTGAAGGAGGCTAAAGATCACAACACAGACTGGCTCGACAGGACCCCCTCTCCACACCCAAGCAGGGAGACACTGAGTTCCAGCGGGTTCGATGCGCAGAAACAGACAGAAGTGAGATACCAGGGAAGTACTCCCTCCCGAAGGGCCATGGGAAGAGACAGCCACACTGCTTTTTTGATGGAGGTCTTTAAAAATGGTCTGAATGAGGAAACCCCTGGCCGGCGGCAGAGGGCTGGACGCGTCCTCTTACACTCTTGGGCCCCAGCCCTGGGGATACTGGAAGAAGGTCTGTAGAGGAGGTCAGCCTTGACCTCCTCCACTGCTCTGGCCCCAGCCTGGCCCCTGTGCCCCCTGCCCTGTGTGGACTGCTCACCCTGCCTTGGGTGAGCGCAGAGGGGCGAGGAGAGCCTTCTTGGCTTGCGGCATATGGTGAGAAGATGTCCCGGGGAATCCTCGCTCCTGATTTAAGCAGCTCCGACAGCTTTATGGCGCCTCCTCGAGTGAGCCCCCAACGTTGGCCGTTTAACTTTTTAGCGTCGTTTAACGCTTAGGCTCCGGCGGACAGGCAGGCCCCTCGGCCCCAGAGGCAGCGGTACTAAATCAGGACACTCTGAGGCCCCGATAAATAATTTTTACAGGGCACGCAGCCCATAGATCACCAGTGGGGGTGGGGGGAGAGTGGCTGTGATATTTCAAACGATTGTCATATATGACTACCCCGTGCTCTGATCCAGGTCGTCCACATGGCAGCCGGCTTCATAACCACAGTCAGCTCCAGGGCCCTCTGCATGGGGCATGGGAGGAACAGTGGAGACACAGTTCTCTGGTGGCCCCACAGCCAACAGATGACCCATTGCCTGCCCTTGTCTGCTGACGTGGTGCCCCAATCCAAGCTTCCTCTGGCACTGGGATAATGGGGTTGCTGAGAGCAGGGTGGGCGAGAGGAAGAGAAAGAACTTTGTGTAGTCAAAAGGTCACTTTCGGACCACCTTCCTGGTCCCCAGACAACTCCAAGCCTGAGTGCTCCAAGGGACCTGGTGCCGGGACTGTGGCCAGAGGGAGGACAGACCAGAGGGCTGGAGTGCACAGGACCTGTGGTCAGCTCCCTGCCATTCACACCTCTAGGGAAAGGGGCAGGGCGGCAGGGGGACAGAGGAGAGGGGAGTGTGGAAGGACAGAGACTGGAACAGCGCAGGGAGAAGGGAGGGAGGAGGACAGAAGAGCAAAGATGGAAAGGTGAGAGAGAGAGAGAGAGAGAGAGAGAGAGAGAGAGAGAGAGAAGGGGAGATGGACAGGGACTCACACAGGGGACACTGCAACAGACGGGGTCTTTTCCTAAAGCCTGGTGCCAAGCTGGAGAGACATGGCGTGGACAGACCCGGGGCCGCAGCATCTGTGCCCTCTGAGGGCGCCCTCCAATTGGCTCCAGGCCCACGTTACTCTGCACCAGCTCCGCACTGCCCCCGCCCTTGCCCCTCCCTTCAGTGCCCTTGCCCCGTCCCCTCATCTGTAAGATCCTGGGATTTGCGGGGACACTTAATCCATATGGAGCTGATTCATTCCCATCTAAATCATCTCCATCAGCTTCCCTAAGAGCCCTCTGATGTGCCAGCCGCCATTCCTCTCTCCCGGCGGTGGCGGGCTGGGGGCTGCCAGTAAACAAACCTCAGCGGCCATCCATCAGTCCAGCCGAGACCATTCGTCTCTCCAGCCCTGCTCCCCCTCCCCGCTCCTCCAGTCCCTCCATCCGTTTGTCTGTCCCTCTTCTCAACATCCCTCTCCTAGAACCTCCACGTCTCTGCCTCGTCCAGGGTAGGATCTTGAGGGGTCATGTCAGCTGCCCCCCCGTCTTCACGAAGACAGGAAACTTACCCCACCCCTGGCTCAGCAGCATGGAGGTTCACCGCCTTCCGAGAAGAGAGGCCTCCAAGTCTGATGATACTGCTACACGGCATGGACAACCCATACGCAGGGATGTTCTTTCCTCTGTCTAGTTTGTCCGTCTGAGATCCACGTAGGATCATGTGTCTGAGCAGGAGCGAAGGTAAGGTGATGGGGGTTTTGTACGAGCACGGGAATCTCCAGTATCTGTGACATGCTCCCCCGTGGGTTAGTGTGGTATATGAAACGCAAGACCAGCGAAATGGCCCTCCTTTGCCCCATCCACCCCAGTGGAGTCCACCCAAGCACACAGTGGGTGCCCCGTGCCGATGGCTTGCTGGCCATAATCTTGTTTATGAGCTCCAGTGAGTCTAATGGCCTTCCGTGCATCCCAGAGAGGTGTCCCATGGAATGACCCAGTGGGTCTGATTGTGGCCCTCTAGCCTAGCAGGGTTTGCAGGGAACACTAAGGAAACGTCTCTCTCTTCTGCCCTCCTACCCAAACTTCTTAGCCCAGTCCTGGGGGGCCAGCTTGCGTGAACGACTCTGTATTGGCAATAACGGGGCTGGTGAGGAGGAGGACGAGCGGCAGGTGGGATGGAGCCTTCCATAGCACCGAGGTGGAACCCTCGCGTTTGGGGGGGAAGCCCTCATGTTTACATGCATGAATGAGAGATCAGGAGGCGTTCCTTCCCATGATGGCCCTTCCCCTGTCAGGTTCTTCAGGTCATTCTGGGAGTGATGATTCTGGGAAAGGGCCGGGGGCCCACTAGCCCCTCAGGAGAAGATGGGGTCTGGTTCCTCTGGTCCCATCTCAGTTTCTCCATCCACAGCACCAGTGAGGGTTGGGGACAAGTCTACCTCTAGAGTAGGGAGTCTGGGTCAGACTCTAGTAAGCCTGCAGGGGGGATGACTTGGGCATGAGTGAAAGGGTTTAGGGAGGGAGAAGTCACAGGGGAGGGGATGAGCCTCACTTAGATTCCACAGTAATGAGGAGCAGGAGAGGCAGAGGAGAGGAGGTGGGGAAGAAGCGTCTTCAGATGCCCTAGGCAGAACTGGTGGCCCACACTGCCATTCCCTCTGAGAGACCCAGGACACTTGGTTGAGCGTCTAATCACCCCCCCTCCCTGGCCCAGATCAGACCAGACCAAGTAGAGAATCCCACTGCATGAGCTCCCCTAGCCCATGATTTCCCAGCACCTCTTCCCCTTGTCACTGGTCCCCTCAGGGAGCCGCTGTGAGTGCACACAGAACATGTGGGGCTCTTCCAGCTGCTATCCAGCTGTGAGGACCCCTGAGCATGCCCCTGCCACCTCCCAGTGGGAGAGAAGACTCTAATTCTAGTCCGAAAGCTGAGAAGGGTAGCGGGGAAGAGGGGCCGGAGGAGGCCATGGGGAAGCTAACCATGTACCCCAGTTGTGTGGACATATGTGTGGGAGGGGAGGGGCTTGCAGGTGTCGAGGCCCAGCTTAAGAAGGATGGAGTGTTTCCTAGTTCTCTGAGCTAGAGACATATGGGGTATATAACACCAAGAAAATGAAAATTATTGCCTAAGAGAGAGAGAGAGGGTGTGGGGGAACAAGAAAAAATCCAAGCCAGGGAGACCAATGCCATCCACCCCCGTCACCATCATGACCTGACTATCTGTGCTTGACGAAGTCAAAGTCTGAGGGAAGGGGGAGCTTGAGAACTGACCCTCAGGGCCTCCCGCAGGGGGGAAGCTAATCCCCCAAATGTGCATTTCCCTGCTGTTACACAGAGCGGGGGAGCTGGGAACAGCGCTCAAATTCTCCAGGTGGGACAGCTGCTGGGGCTTTTCCGCTTTCCTTCCCTGTGCCCTCCCTTTTCTCTGGGCTGTTGGGGGAACCAGCGAGCTCTTCTCCCACTGGCCTGTCTCCCTTGGGTCTCCCCAGGACTGGGCCCTCCTTGTCCTCTCAGTGGGTCCCACCCTGTCTTGTCTCCCCCAGACCTCTTCGTGCAAAAAGCTTCCCATATTTTGTCGCTCCCCACACAATCCCCTCCTTTGAAAATAGTCCACTTACCCAAACTTGTGGCCAAAGGGGGTCCTTTAGGATCCACTTGTAGGCTGGTGCCTTCGTCCAGCAGGGCCTGGAGTTTCGTTCGTCTGTCCAGCCTCCTTCACTCAACAGCCATATGCCCAATGTGGGCCATGACCTCTACGACGCAGGCAAGGATTCTAGAAGCGTTTCTGTGCTCACGGGCACAGCTCCAGGAGCAGCCTGACTTTTAATGGAGTTGGCAGTCCTTGTTCTGATTCCAGGAGAGAGAAGTGTCTAGAAGGATGCCAGTGGGCTTGGGTGTGACTGATGCCGTTTCCTTAGGGGAGGCCACCTCCTGTGAGGTCACCCTGTGATAGTGGTGACTGAGGCTGGACAGCAGGAGGAACTTCTAAAGACTCAAAGTTGAAGGAAAGATTTCCAGGTTTCAGTGAAGCTTTTGGGAAAGGACGATGTTAACCTTTTCAGGCTCTGTGGGAGCAGAGGGGTCTGTGTGTCTGGAAGGGTTTACTTCGACCCAGGTAGGACTGACCCCAAAGAGGGATGGCCACTTCCTCTTTCCAGAACCCTGACTCATCCACACTCAGGGCAATCCCACTCACAGTTTCTTAGATGATTGTTTGTTCCTTGGCCAGAAATCTGGTTCTTGAACTCTGTCTCCTATTCTTCTCATGACCTGGGAACAAACCGTCTTTGGGAACCAAATGTAGCTTCAACTTATGGAGCCAAAAGAACAGAGAGGCAGGGTCATTTCTAGACAGTGACACTGCAAACCTACAAGGAGCTAGGAATGTCCCCTTATGGGAATGCCATCTTCTCTTTTTTACATGGGAAGGGAAAGGATGTGACCCTGGGGGGAAAGGGCACAGTTGGTGAGAGCAGAGAGTGATACCAGCTAAAGAACACCCCGCCCCCGACCTCCGCCCAGCCAGCCCGGATCCAAACGTGCACATGATGGAAATGTCTTCACAGCCAAGGGCCCCTCCTTCCCAAGGAGAAAATCCCACAAGTGGGGAACATCTGGATCAAACCACAGCCATGAAAGCACAACATCAAACAAGGGTTTCCCAGCGACCCTCCCCGCAGGCCCTGCTCCAAGAGAAATTGCAGATCTTCCTGCTTGAAGCTTTTAAGTGTCACAGAACCCCCTCAAGTTTGGGATCACTCCTTATTCACTGGAGACAGATGTCCCTGAGTGAGCATGGTTGGGTTTGATTACCCCCAGCGGGAGAGGGTGTGTGTGACCTGATCCTGGCCGTGTTGGGGGGTAGCCTGGGATTTAAAGCCGTGATGAGGGGCTCCAGCAGTTCAGGCTGGGGGCTGGGGAGAGACAGGGGACAGGTGGGCCTTTTAAAACGTGCCTACATCAAAGGTTTGAGTAGGCTCCCTTCCCAGCGTCGGCGCCTGCAGGGCAAGAAAAGTGCTGATTTCACCACATAACTGCACGTAGGATGGATCTCAGTCTGAGAACTTCTGGGGAATGTGGAGAGGGGAGGGAGGGTGCTCCCGAGAGGGGAGGAGAGGCCAAAGGGGGTTTCTCATTTCCAAAATAGCCTGCCTAGGCCAAGGGAAATGGGACCAGAGTCTGCCTCCTTCCTACTCAGCCCCTGCAGAGGGAGATCAGGAGGGAGGGGTGCGTTCTTCCAAGGTGGGGAGGCTGGAGCAGCCGCAGCAGTGGGAGGTGGGCCCGGGATCACAGATGGAGGTCCAGGCGGAAGCAGGGCCATCTTCCCCAAAGGTGTGAAGGAGGAAGGACCGCAGACCATGTAATTCTAGGAGACAGTAGGCTCTTCCCTCTCTACCGCCCAGGGTCCTTCCAGACCCAGGAATCAGAGGGCACCCGGCCATCATGTTGGCAGCGTGGGATGGACTGCGGGGCAGACGGGTTGCGGGGGAGGACCCCAGGGCCGGAATCCCAGTTCAGATTTGAGTAATCTGCCCAGAGGATGTGTGAGAGAGTGTGCTGGCACGTGGGCACCCCACTGTGATCTTGGTTTAAGAAGCCAATGGTTTATTCTTTTTTTTTTTT